GGCAGCAGCAGCGCCGGGGCCTGCGGCGGCGGCGGCGGCGGCGGCCCCGGCGGGGGCGGCGAGCGGAGGCGGAGGAAGAACCCCGGAGCGGGAGGCAGCGACGGCGGCGGCGGCGGCCCCGGCGGCCACGGCCCGGCGGCGGCCAAGAGCCCCCGCAAAGCGGCCGCCGCTGCGGCGCGGCTCAACCGGCTGAAGAAGAAGGAGTACGTGATGGGGCTGGAGAGCCGCGTCCGGGGCCTGGCCGCCGAGAACCAGGAGCTGCGGGCCGAGAACCGGGAGCTGGGCAAGCGCGTGCAGGCATTGCAGGAGGAGAGCCGCTACCTGCGGGCCGTGCTGGCCAACGAGACCGGCCTGGCGCGGCTGCTGAGCCGGCTGAGCGGCGGGGGACTGCGACTCACCACCTCCCTCTTCAGGGACTCGCCCGCCGGGGACCACGACTATGCCCTGCCTCTGGGCGAGCGGCAACAGGACGCCGGGGAGGACGAGGACCCTGCGGGAGGAGTATGTCTCCACGTGGACAAGGATAAGGTGTCGGTGGAGTTCTGCTCGGCGTGTGCCAGGAAGGCCTCGTCTTCTCTTAAAATGTAGGGTCAAGTAACCTGCTCTTTATCCGTGTTTACCCCTTTCAGCTCCCTTACACCATGTAAAAACACTTTAGTGGGACATCTTCACTGGACACATTTCAGAGAAGAAAAGTAATAATGAATCATTAAGTGTTTAGCTAAAAGCATGAATGTGACACAGTAACCGACTCTTAATGATAACATGTGACTATTAAATTTCTCTGACAGTTTCTTTTTTAGGTGATTTCCTCCCTGCCAGGCTCCGTTGTAGGGGTTACAGAACAGTCGTACCCGCCTCACAACCTGGTAAGGATCCATCTCTTCCCCTAAAAGCTCATGCACTGCTGGTTAGTCTACTTTAATGGGCAAACATACACAATTGTTTGTATTGGGGGATTTAAAACAAAACAAAACGAAAAACAAACAAAAAAACTAATTTGGGCCCTGTCCACCCTGGAAACAGACTTGTGCTGGCCACTAGTGTGTTTAAGATGCTTCCTCTGATTGAAACAGCTGTTGATGTGTGTGCCCTTGTTCAAACTTACTTGTACCTAGCTGTTCTGTCCCCAGTGTGGACATGGCCTTCGATGACATCGTTCCAACTGTGCAGTGAAACCTGCTTATAGCCATACAGTTTGGACACAGTGAAAAAAGGTGAAGTTGAATGGAAGTTCCAGTTGTACAAGGTGCAAATTGGAATTCCAGTTGGAGTGCAATTTTGCAGGGGTTGGCTATATGATTAAATCCTGTTGTACTTTTCAAACAGCTTTGAGTATTTGGGGCATGAACAAATATTCTGTAGTTCTAATTAGAGATGGTAAAATCTCTTGAATATTCAGGAATGCCTCTTAGTTTCCTATATAAGATATATAAACTTATACAGGCTCATTAGATTACAGAACTAAATATCAATGTTAGAGAATTGGAAATAATATGCATACCAGACTCCTTTATTTAGTTAAACAGCCATTGAGAAGAGTAATAATGTTTAAATAAAACTGTTTCCTTGAGGACCAGCACAGTGATTCAGTCACTGAGTATGAATGAGTTGTTGAATATCTTTATTTTGTTGTATTAAAATTTATAAGTTAAATTTGTGTCTGTACCATTAGAGATTTTAAAGATGGTTAAATGAATGAAAAAATGTAAAGTGAGGTTTCACAAAGGATGAATTTTATAACTCCAAATATAAAAACTAAGATACTTGTTTCCTTTTTTGGTAGATGAAAAATTTTGGTGTTAACTAACCAATGAAGTTAAAAAACACTTTTGACACTTAGAGAAGCTTTTCCCATAGCTGGGCTGCTCTCTTGTGTCCTTTGAGTACACTAATCATACCTATTAGCATAATCGGAGACCGATAGAAATTCTTTGTGAAACATCACTGTTTGATAAAGTATACGTGTATTTAGCATCCTTGTTTTTCTTTATGCTAAAGTGGATACAGCTGTTGGGGCAGAAGAGACGGGACCAGCTGCTGGCCACATTTCCTGCTTTATTTTAAAAGGTAGTATAAGAAATGAGGAAAAAGAGGTAATATCAGGGCTTCTGCTGTCTTTTTATTTTAAAATTGTGCATAATTAAAAAGTTAATTCCAGCAGTCCAAAGATGTAGTTAACTTTCATTTAACATGTTTTTGTTTTGTAAATGGAATCCTTTTTTGCACAACTGTAAATGTTCGTTGCTGGAGATAAGGTATTTGAGACTTAATATTGGTCTCTGGTTTGCAATTATGCATCACAACATATTTTGTAAAATCATCTACTGCACTTGAGCATGAATGGGCAATAGCTACACTTAGAACATGAAATGATGAATCTGCTTATACCTAAGAGCAGGATTAAGTCCCCAAAATGCAACTGCATGTATTTTTAGTGCCTACTGAATCATACATATATAAACCAAAATTAGTTGGAAAATTATTTGAAACAGTGACTAACTTGTGATATCTTTATGGAATATGTTAAATGTAGCTTTGAAACAGAAGCCTTGAATTGGAATTTTAACTAACAATACTTGAATATTTTGTATATATTTCTTTGTATATAATTTTGTGCAGTACCAATGACAATAAGAATATGGTGTCATAATAAAACCAGGTTTGTTGATCTTTCAGTAATGGGCTCAAAGAATTTGTTCATCTCTATCCTTACCTTAATATTGGAAAGAAACAGGAATGGAAATCAGGAAAATGTTTGTTAGAGTTGGCTCTGGGTCTTAAGGGTTCTGGAAACAGTAAGTGTGGTGTTTTTCATAACAACATTGTCTTGTTGACATCAGTATAATTCTTGAATTAATTGAGGTTTGGGGCTGGACAATGCAGGAGAAACATTGATTAAAGCTTTCAGAATTGGGATGCTGTTTGTTTAGAATCACATCATTGGAATCTTTGCTTTGCAAAAATGTCATTTTACAAATGACAGTATTTGGAAATAGTTTTACAAAAAATTTTAAATGTGGAAAAAGTTGAAGATACTTTTAAAAGCTGCTTATTTTAGGTTCCTTGTGTTCTATTAACTGTCCCTTACTAGTTTCCATTTCATTCCTTTTTCCTGATTTTGATGACTAAGTGTTTTTGTGTCATTTATTACATCAACTTCATGTTCTTGTTTTCACATGGTAATAATCACTTGTTTTTTAGAACCAGCAAAGGTGTTAGTAAATATGGTCATATTTATATGTAAACACATTTTACTATAAATGTTTGGGCTTCTTAAACTAAGAAAAAACTGATTACTTTCAATGTGTAGTGAGTAGAATACCCTAACACATGTCCCCTCTTCTTGTTGTTAATTAAAACAGTTATGATTATTAATATAAAGCTGTTGTCTTACTTTTTCTATAAGGTTGTGCTCTGAAGGAGTAGTGTTTGGATCCCAAAAGGCATTTTGGAGTACAATAATACTGATTTGGGAAATAGTTACAGTCTGATTTTGTTGTGAAATAATCTAACATTTTGGGATAAAGGAACTTTTTCTTGATGGTTAGGATTTGCAGTTTCCTACATTTTACATAGTAAAGTGATGCAGTACCTTAGTATAAATGAATGTTTATCTGTTGTAAGAAAGTAAAAAGTCTAATTAGTGCTCAGCTTTTAAAATTTTTCTTAGTGAGACAAGCATGCAAATATTAAATGAATTCTAATGAGACATTGCTTTACATGTACAACTCCATCACCAAATTTTAAAAAAATCTTTGTTAAAACCTAGTCAGATGAAATCTCATGTGTAATCAAACCAACTTGTTAAGATATTTTGAATTAAATGTGCATTCTATAATCATTGAATTAATCTCTCTTTCTTCTCTTTAAACAGCTTAGCAGTGTCTGCAAAAACGAATCTTTTCCTACAACCTGTAACTGACTGGACTGATGGTAACAAAGTAGTTGTGGGAGCCATATCGGTCACAAATTTTGGCATCTGCTGAAAAAATGAATGCCATTTCAAGCCCCCAAATTACTTCTATACTGATTTCACTTTCCTGAAGTGGAGATTTGAAAAGATTCTCTGGAATCCTTGAAAGACTTAATAGAAACACATGAGACTAATGGATTAATTTTTGGATAAAATATTATTGTCTTTCAGAGGAGTCATAATTCAGTTCTTTGCAGTACCCTTTAAAATTGGAACTGCCCCTTGGACAAGAGAATTATATATTTTATCTAGTACTTTTCAGTTTCTTTAGCAAGGAACATAGACTAGTGTATTACATTTCGTAAAACAATTAAAAGGCCATCAATGGTTGTAAGGTGTACATAATTTGTGCTCACTTAACTGTATGTAACATGGCAGTCTTTGTGAAGCTGATGCATTAACTTTGCTGAACTTAGTAAAATAATTAATGCAAAGTTCAGAATTTAAAGGGCAGTCCTTTTGTAGATGTTGAATTGTTTTTTCATATTCATGGAGGAATTTTGATTGGTAAAATGTGTGGGAATATCTTATATAACCGAGAAGTTGCACAGGCAAGAAATAATGGATTTCTTTTTTCCTATTATAAGTAATTTGACAATATTGGGAATAATTTGAAGTTTCTAATAACTTGTATTAGTTTTTATTCACACTTTCATGTCAAAATGGTCTATTGTTATGTAATGGCTTGAGCATTCTGGATTTTAGAAGTGACTTCTTTGTAGTAAATGGTTTTATGCCACATACATTTTCCCAGCTTATGATGTGATAGAGCTTCATAGGACTCAGTTTCTCAACAAGGGTTACTTGTTAGATACTTATCTCCTCCCACTTTCCCACCATCTTTGGGACTAATATTAATAGGTATATGTTCTAATTTTAAACCAGTCAGGTTCTATCTTACTGGATATCTCTGAGTTAACAGCATAAATATGGTTGGATTCAGGGGATAAGTTCCTGTTCTCCATCAAGTTAAATTCAATAAATATGTATTTATTGAAGGAAGCAATCAAAAGTTAATTTAAATCTGCTCAGCTCATTCCTTTGTTAGTAGCAGTGAAGAGTCTTACCAAGAATTAGCCTAAGGAATTCTGAGGAACATTTCTGGCTCTATCCAAGTATGCTGTTCATAAAGCAGAGCCATCTCTCAGCCATTATTCATGGAGTTATGGACTTTTTATGCAAAACACTGACATAGTTCCTTCTGGTGGCCAGAGAGTTCTTTTTGACAGGATACTAGATAAAACACTGGTAATTAGGAGTTGTGAAGTTCACTGTGGAATAGAGGTCCCTGCTAACTTAATACTTTCTTGATATGTATTATAGAATTTTAGACCTACAGAACCTTAGAGATCTTGGGAACTGACTTAACTATGAATCAGTAATAAGAATTTTTAAAAAGCATTTCTTCCCAGGCCCACTGTGAATCTGAAGTTTGAGGAATCTTGAAAATTTGTCATATTTCAGGTCTCTTGTTTTTGTTTTCATGCCTTAAAGCATACTGATATGTACTTTAAAATAAGCAAAATGAATTCAGAAGATATTTAAGGATCCTTCAGTACTTTATAAGGAGAGCCATCATTATGACCATTAATTACTGACAATACTGTGAAAAAGAATTCTAGTTAGCTATATTTTGGATAAATTGGGTGTTGCTATTTATACATCTTTTTTTTCCCTTTGTTGTAATCTCTTAAATTGCTGCCACCTGTTGGATTTCTTTGAGTTGGAGTTTTTGTTTAACACTATAGCTTTTTTCCCCATTGGGAAGTATTTTTAAATCATTCATTATTAAGTTTGAGCAGATAGAGAACTAAGTATATGTAATTGACAAAACATTTTGTCCCTAATTGCCTTGCCAAAAATGACAACAAACATTTTGTGCTTTATTTTTAACTTAGATTTTTGTTGAATCTCTTGATAAACTGCAATGAAACCAATTGAATACATACTCTAGCCACTGGCTGTGTTTTGAAGAGTATAAGTTGTAAATTTCAGTTAAATCATTTGTGCTCTTATTAATGTTTTATCTAATTGAAGTGTGGAAATTATTGGTAGCCTTAAAGCAAAAAGACAGTTTCTACCAGGCTATGACACTTCTAAATACTGCATCTTTCCCTGGCTTTCAGAATTGAGTAACATTTGGGTTATGAAGTTAGCATATTATGGTAATTAAAGTATAATACAACTTGATCTTTTTTGTTGAGGCAGCAGTAGTAATTTTCATATCACTAATTGTAAAGTAATATGCTGTAAGAAACATTTGAGAACAAATTCTAGAAAATAGATGACCATTTAAGAAAATATGGGAAATTGTAAATATTTAATGTGTAAATTAAAAAAATTGAATACAATTCAAAATATTAAAGTTTTGAACCAACATTTACTTTATGTGAAACAAAAGAGAACAAACTTTTATGTAATTTAAATTGATGGAAACATTTATTGAGCACTGATTACATACAAGACCTCTGCTGGCACCATGAAGGGGAGATACAAATATGTGTAAGACATAAGACAGCAATATGTAGTAAAGGTTTTTAAAGAATTTGAATAGTTTTCAAGATAGTTTTAAATGATTTAACAGGTAGTTCTGCCAGTTTCATTCAGTTTGTCAATCATGGCTTTAGACTTTAAATAGTAATGTCTGTTTTGAGAAAACTGCTGGAAAAAAAAGGGGGGGAGCTTTAAAGATAAGATTCATGGATCCTTGATTTGACCTCAATGTCATGGGGGTGTTTGTTTAAAAAAAAAAAAAATAAAACTAAAAACCAATTGACTTTCAGTAATCTTTAAAAAAACAAAACTTTCCCTTTTTAAAAAAGGAAATTATTCTGCCTCCGTCTGACTTTTAGAAATTTATCCCTTTACTAGAGCTGCAATTTCTTTCTATTTGACTGGTTTTTAAATTTTTTTTCCAAATCCTGCCTTCTACACTGAGTAAGCAGGCACGGCAGCATCTTCTTGCTGTTAACTTCCTTAAAAATTTACATTAATGTTCTGTTTTATCAGCATTAGTACTGAAGAAAACTTGTGAAGTGTTTTATTTGAGCCTTATAATAACCCTATGAAATTACTATAGCTATCTCTGTTTTGCAATAGTAATAATATGCCAAAGGGCTAGAAAATTTAGTAACTCTGACCTTTAGTAGCAGGGTAGGGAATAGATGAGTTGTCCCTAGTAATGTGAATCTAATACTTTCATGTGTCATGCAGCTTTATTAAACAGAGTGAATAGGATGTAGTGCTATGAAAACTGGAGATTTGGGGAAATGTTATTTGAAAGATAGAATAGGTTTGTTATCTTGTATTCTAGAGAGAACAGAGAAATATGTAGGAAGCATATTTTGACTTTGTCTAACTTTATTAGAGCTCTCCAGAAAATTGTAATGGGCTGCCTTTCTGTGAGCTCCCCATGATTAAAGCATTCTTTTCAGGGTATCAAAGGTATTTGTATTTTTTTGCTTTGGTAGGGATATTAAAGCAGTTGGACCTCCCAGACCTCTTCCAACTCTTGAGGAAAAAACTGTTTTTTTACAAGCTTTAGAAACAATTTGAGTAGGTGAAAGGAGATGGATTTTGTAAGCGGTAAGAGTGGCTATGTAGTGTTTTCTTATACTTTTACTTTTCCAGGTTGAGAAATTAATGAGAAAACTGTATTAAACTTTTTGTTTTTTTAAAAAAAGGATAGTTCTTCACCTCTAATAATTTGGTAGCTTTCCTCCCTAAATTTAATGTTACCTGTATCAGTTATTTTTGAAAGGGACCACAGGTTTTAGTAACTGAGCCAACTTGTAGATAATTTGTTCAGCAGTAGTGTTTCCTGACTTTAGGCACTATTTTTGATGTGTTAGCTTCAGGTAATAGATGTAAAGTCACAGTAAGTTGCAATAAGTACAATTTTATTTGTATATTTGTTGGGTATTAGTATCTTATTTTTACATAATTTTAACCTTTTAGCTGTGCACTTGATTTATTTTAAGGTTCAGGTAATTCAAATGCTTTTATGAGTACTTCGTACTGTTTAGAACCAAGGTATGCTGCAAACATAGTCTGCAGCATTATAGGAAAGACCATTTTTCTAAAGACAGGTTGAGAGACTGTGATCCAGTAGGTCCAAATATTTCCTTTCTGTGGTAGTGGAGCCGAACTGTACCTAAAAAGAAAACGATGGTGTTGAATACATTTACAAAATTCTGGCAAATACATTAATTTTTGGGGGGATATAACTAAAGTCTTACTCTGATGACTCAGTTGGGTCCAAGTCCTATCAAAACCCTTCAAAGTGTGAGCATGACTTCAGTGACAGATTGGAGAGGTGTGGACCATAGAACTTAGAGGACTACAGTCCACAAATTGGTGAAAGTATCTTAAATGATTGTTGCATAAAAATTCTGATGATCTCTAGAACAGTGTCTGATCAACTAAATGATTCTCAAATTAATCTAACAGTTGCCCAACTGGGACCATTAGATGTACAGTTTTTCACAGATTGGCAGAATATTGAAGCCTTCTAAGAAAAAAGTAGCAAAGCCAGGTCCTCCCGAGTCTGAATTTGATGCTCATTTACTATATTGCCTTTCCCAAGTGAATGTTAATTTTGAATTAAGAATGAATTTTTTATCTAGTTTGATAGGGGAACTACCAATTGAAAAATATTGAAAGAATACAGCAAACATACCTGGCTGCCAGAGCACCATTTATTGGTATAGCCAAAACAACAGGATAGAAACCCCCGATTATGAGACCAACCATTCCACCTCTTATAACAGTACAGGCTTCACAGCTTAGATCACCTAGAAAATAAAACTATTTGTTTTCTGGAATGAGGAGTTCAAGACATCAGTCAGCTTCACTGTGCAAGGTATTGTGGTTGATGCTACTTCACTATCACCTGTGTTTCACAATTGCAATTTCAGTAGTTGGTTTAAACCATATTGGCATAAACCATATTATAAATTACGCAACTGGAATTTTTTGGAAGTTTTCGTCAGATAACAAAAATTAATGTTAATGCTTGTTATCAAGTTTTCAGTCAGAAGTAGAAGGGACGGCAAATAGTCCAGATAACAGCTTCTTCCCCTCCCTACCTTCTGCTGACATTTGAATGCTACTTCAAGATTCTGATCCTCTGATTCTATTAACCAGTCATTAATAGACCACTTTCAAGGGGGAAATGACTAATGTCAACTCATTCAAATTGTCTGTCTTACTGACTTTAGAGTTTCTAGTGTCATAAAATGAAGATCTAGTTGAATCCAGGAGGTTGAAGAGGGAATAGCCAATCCCAAGTGAAAAAGAGTTGCAATTTAAAATCCCATCCCTCAGATGCCAAATCAGGGCTTTCTTCACTTTAACTAGTTGTCCACTTATATAATTATCTTCATATATTTTAATTTACTAGTGGTCTTAAAGCTAATATTTTTTTGGAAGTGCAGTATTTTATGTAGCAAACTCAGGAGCTGGGACAGAGAGAGATAGGGACAGGCAGCTACTATGAAAGCACTTGCATTCAATAACATTGAACTTACGAGAGCAAATTGGTCTTATTTCATTGTAATTGTCTTCTGTATACTTCAAACACTAGCACTAAACATTAAAACGTGAGAAGAGCATGTACCCTACGTCAACTAGTAAATTTATCTGACACCCCAGATAGAAGAGGGAATGTTAAATTGTGACCGTAGCTTTTTACTATAAAGCATTAACTTTTAACTTGCAACCAAGTTGTCCTCTACGTTCAAAGAATCCGAGAACAATTTCAACGAAGTCTACAGAGCCTAATTTACAATCTATATTATACAAAATTACGGCAAATAAAAAAAATTAAAACAAAATTCTTGAAAATATTAAATTGTAATTTACCTGAACTCAAAGGTAAACTTACAACACTTCTGTAAGTTACGTAGGTTGACAAAAATGGGAGAACAGCCATTGGTAAAGCTGATGTTATGCGAGCATGTCTCACATTTAAGATGCGTCGGAAAAAACTGTTTGCTATTAAGCCACAAAAAGCTGCGTTTAGTCCAACATAAGCTGATCCAGTCATAAGTAAATTCCTAAGAAATAAGAGAAATAATTTTTGGAACTTTTTTTCATGCACTATTATTATCAACAGCTTGTATGTTTTGTAGAACTTAAACCTTTTGGAGGATATCTAAAAAAATCAGTCAGTGCAATTGCTATTTGTACTTTCCCTCCATTTCTTGGTCTTTAAGCCAGGTTTGTAATTCTCTAATGAAGCTAGATTTGAGAATATAACAGGGCTAGGAACTAGATACTGTGGACAGGCAGGCAAATATATTAATATGGCGTTTGTATTAAAGAAGACAGGGCTGCTACATAGTGCAGTGGATAGAGTGCTGGGCCTGAAGTCAGGAGGATGAATCTTCCTGAGTTCAAGTCTGGCCTTAGACACTTAACTAGTTGTGTGACTGAGTCTGAGTAACTGACTTTACCCTGTTTGCCTCAGTTTCCTAATCTGTAAAATGAGCTGGAAAAGGAAATGGCAAACGACTCCATTATCTTTGCCAAGAATACACCAAGTGGGGTCAAATAAAGAATCAGACATGACTGAAACTACTGAATGACAATTAATGAAGACAATTAGACTTGGGAACCCAAGTGTCATAAATAATACCCTTAAATGGAAAACAGATTTTACTTGGAGGAGTCATTTCACAAATAAGAACTGTCTAATAGTTCTAGTTAGAAACTAGGGTTGGCTTCTTTTCTGGGGGTTATCTTAAAAACCTAAAGAAATGTTTGTATAAAGCACAATTTTTCTATCAAACTGAGAATTATCAGAATATAGGCACTGGGAGATTTAAAAATATTTTAGTCAAACATTTCCTTCCCTCTCACTGTTTCCTCAACCCTTCCCCCCTCCCACTGGAGAAATGATGAACTCAACTTGTCCAAGAGTACAGAACTAATTAACAGCAAAATCTGCTTCTTCGCTTAGTGCTGTCACATCAGGGTGCCTATCATTGCTTTAGGCAACTGACTCTTCTAGCTTTGATTTCCGTGATAGCTCTGGAATGCTTAAGGCGGGTTCTGATTACAAATAGTTGATTCCTAGAGCACCGATGTTAACCTTTGCCATTCAGCCAAACGTGGGTTAAGAATTTAAGTGCTGCCCCTTTCCTGGCCTTCTTGAAGTCATATGCAATAAAACCTAGCCATAAGTATTTGGGGTTTTACTGTATTTCGTGGTTATAAATGCTACAACAGAGTCTAGAGTGGACCTCCCCACCCATTGTTCGTGTCTGCCGGTTTCATCAAATGGTTACTGTTTCTGTGGAAGATGATGGTCCAAGTTGTCCTCCATGAAGTCTTTGTTCAAAGGCTGAATATATTCTTTTCCCATTAATGCTTTTTGTATCTTTCATCTATGTTGCCTTTTCCTGCCTCTTGTCTATCTCAATAGATTACTAGGAATAAAGGAAATAGAAAAGAATTGGGCTTAGACAACTTTTTTTTTTTTTTGTGAGGCAGTCGGGGTTAAGTGACTTGCCCAAGATCACACAGCTAGAGGGCTTAGACAACATTAAAAGTTATTGGTAAACCTTTCTATGATATTTACATTTACTTAAGGATTAAAAGATGTGGTTTTATTGGGTTTTTGTATTCCTGTCATTGGGTAAAAAGTGTAACCCATCTAACCTTAGGTGATTCTTGTCCATGTTCTTTTATAAATCATGCATTTAATCTATCTGCCTACACATTGAATTCACCCTAATGTTTTGTGTAATACCCAAGTTGTCCATGTGTTATTCTTCTATGTGACCGACCTACTCCCTCTTCCAAATCCTCCATGACCATCTATGTTGCTTAGAAGAGGAAGATTGAGCCAGCTAAGATTATTTCTGCACAACTATACAAATGTATACATTTGTTAAAAAAACCTAACAAGAATGACTTATAACAGATACACATCTGTCTAGACTACATTAACGTGAAACACTAGGTTTCTTGGGTGATGTAGCTCATCATTGAACAATTATGCAAAGTTATGACAGATTTCGACTGTGTTGCCAACTATGATTCTTTTAAGTATCAGTTAGATTTGGGATGTGATAATGCAGAATTTTAAACAGTATATGATGAGCCCCTTATTCAACATGATGATACTAATCTTATGTAATCAGTTGAAATTTAATTTTATGTGAATGTTCCCAAAATAATACTGCTTGTTATATCACATGCATATTACTACCTCTAAAATTTTTACATAAACTGAAATCTTAGGATATAAAAGATTATTTAGAAAATATAAAACTGTTTATACAGCACCACATTGTATTAAAATTAAATTCATCTAAACACCTATGGTCTACTACTATGCAAGGAACTGAAGAAAAATAGAGCTCACCTGTGAAGCAATTTATTATACCAGAAAAAACAAACAAACCATAATATAGAAGGATACTGGCAAACTTAACCTGGCCAACAACTTTGAGTAGTCCCTCTAAAAACTGTTTCAGGTTAAATCAAAGTACCGTGTTCTTAACTTTATTGTATCTGATAGATAATGCTGCTAAGGTAAGTAGGAAGTTGATATTGTCTATATTCAAAACAGCTGTGAAAATGAAGATTCATCTGGTTGTAATATGTACATAGAAAGCATGCATATCAGATATGGTTATCTTACTGATCTGATTCTGGAAGTTGTGCCACTTTTCTGGCTATGATTTCATTGATTCTTAATCTTCTTTCTGTATTGTCTTGATTATGTTCCATCTTGAGGCCTTAAAGTGTAGAAATCACAAGGTTATTTCTCAGTAATTTCTAACTTAGGACACAAGTAAAACAAGTGTTCTTATAACTAAATGTCTGACTGAAAAATTTGCCCAGAATCAATTACGCTTTAAAGTTTTTCCTTTCAGAATCAAAAACCATAGAATGAATTGTCTTAGGACCTAGCCCTATAGCTAATAATAAATCTATAGTTTATAGGAGATAGCAAAACATCCTCAAATGGGAGTATAATTCAAGAAGTATTTGGTTGTTTTAAAATACTCCAAGTATTTATGACAAAAAGGGAAGAATAAACTGTTCATGAAATCTTAGAAACTTAGTTGGAAAGGATCTCAGCCAGCCATGTAGTCTAACCAATCTGTAAAGAGAGCTACTTACTATAATGCCTCCAGGTAAGCAGTATACACATGACTTATCAATTTGAGGGGCAAGATTTCCATCGATGGAGAACTCAACATCTTTGAAGGTAGCATATTCTACCTCATAACCTCTGGTATTCAGGAAAGATTTTGTTTTAACAAGCTGAAATTGGCCCCTGTGACTTTCAGCTATTGCTTCTTGTTTTGCCAATTAAGACTGAGTTGAATTCTTCTATGTGGCTGCCTTTCAGATTCTTGAAAACAGCTGTCTTGTGTACTCCTAAGTTCTTTCTCCTTTAGGCTAAACCTCTCCAGTTCCTTTAGCCAGTCATTATATTCCAGTCCTCTGGAACTGAATACTTGACATGTAGGCTGACCAAGATGGCCTGGCAGGACCATGTTCCCTTTCTCTGGATACTATGCTTTTAGTAATCAAATCTGAGGAGGTGCTAGCTTCTGGGGCATTATGGCATATTGGGGAGAGTGCTGGGATTGGAGTGGGAAAGACTTGGTTTCATTAGATACTTCCTTACTGTATGACTGGGGTAAGTCGTTTTCAGCCTCAGTTTCCTTATCTGAAAAATGGGGATAACTATGCCCCTTCTTAGATTTACTACGAGGATCAAATGAGATTTTATGTAAAGTTGTAGTGTAAATGTCAGTTCATCATTTGAGACTTTGTCAAATGCGCCTTGTGTTGAAATCCATGTATAATAGTATACTGTTAAAAATGGAAGTGAAGCATATTCTATATTTGATGAAACCATGCTGGCTATGGAAACTACCCCTTAATAATAATTTAAAAAACATTTTGCTTGAAATTGAATGCAAGCTCACCTAGCTTTCAAAGCAAATTGCACCTTCCCTTTTGGCCTAACTTGTACCAGTTGTGGATGTGAAAAGTGAATTTTTAGCAGTTGTTTCTTTAAACGTGCTTACATATAGGTATCATTTGATTCTTACAAAAACTGTCAGATTTGTAGTGTAAGTATTCCCTCCTTTTACAGATGAGAAAACCTTAAAGAAGGAGGATGAATGCCTCTAAAAATTTATAATAGCTGGCATCTACATACTGTATTAAGGCCTGCAAAAATGCTTTATAAACATCAAGACTCTGTGTAGGTGCTCTTATAATCCTCATTTTGCAGCTGAGGAAACTTGAGACTTTTTTTTTAAATCAAATTTGTTGGCAAGATTAATTGACTTGCCCAGGGTCACAGCTAGTAAATGTCTGAGGTAGAATTTGAATTCAGGCATGTCTGAGTCCCAATCCAAAGCTATCCACTGTGCCAGCTGGCTGCTTCATTTATACCATAAGGTGACAGCTGGGTAGATTCTAAGCCAAATGTCCTAAATCCATAGCTCTTTCCACAGTACTAGTACTTCAGTAGCAACTAGTATAATACTGACAGAAAATTGTATACTATCTGATGTCTGAACAAGAGCTGTAGACTGAAAGAAAGAGTTTTAAGTGATTCCTATGTACAAAAAGGACTGCTAACCATTAGGCTCACAAACAGAAAAGCAAAATAATCTCTGCTGTAAAACAAAGCAATTTTAATAAGGCCCCCACACGAGCCTGTACCCTATGTGATGTCTTGGTTCAGATGATGACTTGTTACCCTTTAGACCCAGAGGTAGCTAGGTGGCACAGGGGATCAGTGTTGGATTTAAAATCAGGAAGACCTGAGTTCAAATCCAACCTCAGAAACCACCAGTATTACCCATGGCAAGTCATTTAAGCTCTTCTAGCCTCAGTTTCCCCCTCTGCAAAATTGGCATCCACCTCAGAGTAAGGATAAAATGAGACTTTTTAAAGCACTTTGCAAATCTTAAAAGCACTATATAAATGTTAGCTGTTATTACTCTTTGTAATTTATATTTTGATCAGTGATTTGCAAATTGGTGGGTTTCCCCCCCAAGAATGAGGTACGAAAAGTCACCTTCCATCTCATGCTATTCCTTCCTTGTTTCACACATTATAGCTCCATTCCTCATCTTTATTTAAGAATTAAAAAGCAAGGAGTGATTCTCAGTACACTGCCCTCATTTTAAATGAATGAAGCTGCAATTCATGATCTTATTATCAAGTCCAGTGACTCCTACCAAATTGACAACCTCCCTGTCCTTTCCGTTGTATCTGATACTAATGGTTACCTTTTCCTATATACTCTCTTCACACAATATCAATCCCACATATCTATTCAGTTGGCAGTTCAACCTCTTCGACATCTCTTGCAGCTGTCCCCTCCCCATTCAAATGACAACTGACCTAGATCAGACCTTCATTGCCTTTCATCTGGTCTAATGCAACTCCCTTCTAATCAGTCTCTTCATCCTCCACAGAGCTGCCCAAGTAAAATTCCTCAAGCACTGGGTCTTGCCACATTGCTATCCTTGTTAAATAGAAGTTTATTGACCCTGGGAACAAAGAACTATTTGACATTTAAACCCTTCACAATTTGGCTGTAGCCTACCCCCCGCCCCGTTTTTTTTTTTTTCTTTTTGGTGAGGCAATGGGGGTTAAGTGACTTGCCTAGGGGGTCACAGCTAGTAAATGTCAAGTGTCTGTGGCCAGATTTGAATTCAGGTCCTCCTGACTCCAAGGCCGGATCGCAATCCACTTTGCCACCTAGCTGCCCCTCTAGCCTACCTTTTAAGATAATTACGCATTACTCCCCCTCGCCAGACTTCCTCTGCTCAGTCATTCCTCAAGGTTAACTAACTCCCACTGACTCTTACCCAATCCTAGTGATACCGAGCCTATGCAATAAACCACCTGCCTCCCTATCTCCTACATCCCTTTCTCTCATCCCCACCCACCTCAATCCTGTTCTGCCCCCAATGTCACTCCTATTTAGTAATTAACAAATATCCTTTTTTTTTATACCTCTTCCTCTTGTGGTCTTTCCATCTTCTGGTACTCAGAAAGCCTTAGCTTCCCATAGTTGATGTAGTATTTCTGGTTATCCTTTCTCTAACCAGTTAGTTATACCTTCTCTTATTCTCCTAATACAGGGGAAGAGTCATATACTCTCCTACCTCCTCCCTGTCAACACTTCCAGACTCTAATGGTGTTATTCAGCAACCTCTTGGAGGTTCACTCTTATTTTTCACCCATAACAGATAACTGGTAGCTGTTATTAGCAGTCTTCAGTACATTCTCCCTCTTTTCTCAATGAGTTCAGTCCCTGGCTCAGTCTCCCTTTCCACCCCAACTCTTGCCTTAATTAATATTGTCTACTATGTGCCAGGCACTGTGCTAAATGTGGGGGATACAAGAAAGGTAAAAGACAGTCCCTGCCTTACAATCTAATAGGAGAGAAAATATAAACAGATATGTACAAAGCAAGTTATAGACAGAGGATAAACAGGAAATAATTAACAGAGGGAAGGCAATAAGAGACTAAACACCCACAATGCTTCTTCAACACCCTTTCCTCCTAAGTAAATTCGTAGGTGGTCATACTATCACATCTGGGGCACAGAAGGGTCAAAAAAGAAGGAAAGTAAACAGATAAAAGAATAAAAATAAATTCAAAGAATTTGCAGTAGGGCAGGTAAACGAGAATGTCTGTGAGGGAAGCCTGTGGGAATATACTAGGATTAAATTAGTGTAAGCATAATGAAGCCCAGGGACACAGTGTTGTATTTAAAGGGGATTGGTATTTGTTGTTCATTTGTTTCAGTGGCGTCTAATTCTTCCTGACCCCACTTGGGGTTTCCTTGAGAAAAATACTGGAATGGTTTACATTTCCTTCTCTAGCTCGTTTTACAGATGAGGAAACTGAGGCAAACTGGAATTAAGTGACTTGCTAAGGGTCACATTGCTAGTAAGTGTCTAAGGCCAAATTTAAATTTAGTCTTCCTAACTCTAGGCCCAGCACATTATCCACTGTGCCACCTTTAAAGGTGGAGGGAGTAAAAATAAAAAAGGAAAAGAAAGCTAGCCATTTTATCTATCTTTACACATGGATAGATTAAAGAATATAATAAAACAAAACAATTGCAGGAGCAGTAAGAAAAACAATTCTTTTGGAATTACTTCTGCAATTACTGTAGAAGCAGTAAGAAACATCTAAAAAAATATAAAGTAACAGAATTTACATGGGAGCCTGGAATAAAATTGACTGGGTCTGATATTTCCAAAAAGAGGTGGCATTACAATCATACTCTTAAACAAAGTATAAATAAAAATTCACAAGTTTGAGAGAGAAGGAAACTATATTAAAGACCACAGATAATTTAATCTCATTATTCAATGCATATATACCAAATATACAGCATAAAGAAAAAGCTAACTAAATTGAAAACAGCAACACAAAAGTTGTAGGTGACTTTAATGTTGCTGTCAAAAATGGATAAATACAGAAACAGAAACTGAAAGGAAAATATGAAAATAGAATGTTAGAAAAGCTGGATTTGAAAGCCTTATGTTGTTTAAGGAATATATACATTTCTCAGGATTACAACATACCATTTACAAAAATTAAACATACTAAGGTACAGAGAAATTATACATGCAAAATGCATTAAATGTAAATGTAAAAATTTTAGATATATTCTTTATACATCATAATAAAATAAGAACTAAATGAAGGCTTAATAATGACATCCTGGAAAATAGGCTGATTGGAGAACAAGTCAAATAATAACTATGTTCACAAGAACAATAATGATGACATCAAAATTTTGGGGATGTAGCTAAAGCTTTGCTCAGGGAGGAAGTATTATCTCTGAAAACACAAAATACAAAAAGAGGATTAAAGGATGAAACTTTTAAAAACTAAAAAAAAAAATACAACTAGGAAATCTAAAATAAGCACATAAGACATGTTGAAAATTAGATAAAATTAGATAAAAAAGAGAAAAGAGAGAATGACCAAAATAAAAAATGAAAATGAATTTATGAAGAACAGTGACAAAATAAAATAATTCTCAAAGCACAGTCCCTGGAACGCTGGGTCCATCTGCAAAACCCTTTTAGCAGGTCAGTGGGGTCAAAGCTATTTTCAAAATAATATTAAGATATTTTAATTCCTAAAATGGTAAATACAGATATAACACATAAAAACAAAATCTCTTTGGAGAGTCTTCTATAATTTAAAGAGATGTCTCCATCAAGGTGCTGAGATTCTTTAAAATCTGGCCTGTTTGCATTAGTGATACAAATACTCAGATTCCTTAAGAGTCTGGCCAATATGGAGAATCTTTAATAAACCTTGTCTTTGGCTGAAAAAAAAAATTTTTTTAAGAGAGTAAAAGGCCCTGAGAGCAAAAAGTTTGAGAACCAAACTGAAACTTTGAAGGAAAATGATCATAAAAACGTAAAATATCTAAATTTTTAAAAAATAACCTTAAAGAGTACAATCCTCCTATGCTTCACTACCACATACCTGTTCTTCCCTCCATTTCTCAGTAATTTCTCAGGTCACTATCCCTGCTTTGACTTCACTATCCCTCCTGAGCAAACTCAACCCAATAATTAGGCATTTCAACTCTATACTGTGCTCTTAAATCTCTTTGCTGCCTTGTCTTATTGGGATTCTCCTGCCAAACCTCAGTCTTGGATTACTCCTAGCATTCCCCACCATTTATAGCCACAAGCTGATGAATGAAAAGTGGAGAAGCCCCAAAATTGTGCTGACTAAGCACATTACAGATTCTTGCTATCTGAGCTCAAATGGGCCATCACTGCAACAAGAGTTCTTTTTCATTCTTCTGATTCCCTATTTTACTCCAAACACAAACTAATCCAACTTTCTTCACTTCTCAATCCATGCTGGAAAGATTTGTCAAACTGAGGGAAAGGAAGAGTGATTAAGGGAAGATGTCAAGGAATTTTAAAATAAAGAGAATCTGAGAAAAGGAAGTCACATCCAGTGGCTTTGATTTTAAAGAAAAGTAAGAGGCAAGACTCTCAGTTTGGTGTCTCAGGCTCACAATATCAGAATTATCCCAAACTCATCATTCTCCCTAACCCCACGTTATCCTACCGGTTGCCAATCTTTCTGTTTCTCTCTTCACAAGATATCTCATATGTACTCCACTCTTTTCTACTCTCACAGCTACCATCTTTATTTAGGTTCTCACCACTTCTCACCTAGATAACTGCCAACAGCCTCCTAATTGGTCTCCAACCCTACATGCAGTCCATCCTACCTGCAGATGCACAAAGTGGTTTTCCTTAACTAAGAATCTGACCAGGTGACTCCTCTACCCAGTGAATTCCAGTGGCTTCCTATTGCTTCTAGAACAATACAAAAAAATCCCTCTGTTTAACTTTTAAAGCACTATACAGAGGGCTCCTATCCAGCTTCATTGGGCACTATTCCCTTTCCCACTCTGGAATCCTGTCAAACTGGCCTTCAAGCCTTGGCACCAGCCATCCCTCAAACCTGACTCTCCCTCCTTACCTCCATCTCATACAAACCCACCCTTCCTTTAAGATGCAGCTCAGAAACCATCTTCAGCATAAAGTCTTCCAGATCATCCCAACTGTTAGGGCCTTCCCTCCCAAGCCACCTTGCATATATTTGAATTTAACTTTATATTTATGCCGTATATATTTTTAAATGTACTTGTTCTGCCCACATCTCCCTTGAGAACGAAATAATAATAAAAGTTGGCATTTATATAGCACTTCACATTTTATTTCACTTGATGCAAGCTCACAGAGATTCGAGATTGTTTCATTCTTGGTACTTGCAGCCCCTTCTCCCGCACAGTGCCTGGCATATAGCGGGGCTTAATGGATTCCTGGTGACTAACTGAATGTTGATCATGAATCGTCATTGCATCATTGCATCATTGCAGGACTTGTGAAGAGCATAAGTGACAGACATATCACTACCAAGATCACTGTAACCCACTCTCATCATTCATGGGGAAGCACAGGTACATGAGCAAAGGCTGCGGAGACAGAAGGATCAAACAAGACAAAGCCTCGAAGAGTTTAAAATCCAGCAAGGGGTAAAACAAATGCACACTGAGCTAGAAGAGAAGTGCACATCAGAGGCCTCATCGGGAAAGACTTGGGGGAAGATGGCACCCGAGGAGGACTCCGAAAAAAGGAAAACATTTCACGGGGAAGGGGAAGGGGAGAAGAAGGTTGATTGCAGGTTGTATAAAAACCTCTGGGGAAGCCTGCTTCCGTCTGGGGAGAAGGGAAGGGAGAACCAGTTCAGAGAAAAGCCGGGGCCGCCCGAGGCCAGCCTGCCAGGCAGCAGCACTTTTCCTCGGACTCTGACCCGCCTTGGGCTCCCCGGGAGCTCTGTGATGTAGGGCAGGCCGGGCCCGCAGGGATGAAGGCGGCCGAGGCTGAGGGCAGACGGAGGCCGGGGCCGGGCAACGGCGCCACCTCCCTCGCCCAGGGCGCGCGAATACCTGGTGCTCCGATCCGGTCGTGAAGAAGCCGCGGAGCTGCCTCCACTGCTGCTCACACTCACTGCAACGTGGGCGGTCTTCCTCTGGGAGCCGCCATGTTTGCCCTTCACGTGACCTCCGCAAGCCGCGGGGCGCCTGCGCGCCGCGATGGCGCTGATTGGGCAGTCGCACTACCTGAAGACAATGACTCTTGCCCGCCTCGAGCTCTGGGCGCACGGATGGGAGAGCGTGCTGAACTGTAGAATGAGCGTAGCGACCCTTGTAAACCTGAAAAGCATGATAGAAAGGAAGCCAGGTGGCGCAGTGGAGAGCGCTGGGCCTGGAGTGGGCAGGACCTGAGCTCAGGTTCAAATGCAGGCTCGGATAGTTACTAGCTGTGTGACCTTGGGCAAGTTACTTAACGGCAGCTGCCTCAGTTTCCTCATCTGTGAAATGGGGAAATAATAGCACCTACCTCCCTTTGTTGTGAGGATCCAGTGAGATATATGTGTGAAATTATTACTGTTAGTGAGCCATGGCAAATGGAAAATTGTCCCTAGCCCCGAAAGTCAGTGTGTAGGGACAGGTCCTTATCATTGTCAGGCTTTACCTACAAATTGAATCATTTCCTAGTCCTACATTCCTTTTCCCCACCAAAACATTCAAGCTGCCAGATCTGCCTTATAATAATGACGTTTCTACTGTGCTTAAGAGTTATACAGGGGAAGGGGGCAGCTAGGTGCACAGTGGATAGAGCACCGGCCCTGGATTCAGGAGGAACTGAGTTCAAATCCAGCCTCAGACACATAACACTTACTAGCTCTGTGACCCTGGGCAAGTCACTTAACCCCAATTGCCTAAAAACAAAAACAACAACAAAAAAAGAAAACAAGGGTTATACAGGGGGCAGCTAAGTGGCCCAGTGGATAGAGCACAGGCCCTGGATTCAGGAGGACCTGAGTTCAAATGCAGCCTCAGACACATAACACTTATTAGCTGTGTGACCCTGGGCAAGTCACTTAACCCCATTGCCTAGCCAAAAAAAAAAATAAGAGTTACACAGCACTTTTCTCTCAAACTTCTTTGTGAGTAGTGAATGCTTTTTTTTTTTTTTTTTAAAACGAGGAAACTGGTTCAGGAAGCTTAAATGACCTTGCCTGAGTGACCTTACCCAGATAGAATGAGTCTCAGAGCTGGAATCTGCACCCAACTGTCCTGCCTCTAAGTCCCAGGTTCTTTCTAGCATATCACCAGTTTACCATACTGCCTCAAGAAGATGGAAAAACATAAGAGGAAACATCTTTAATGCATATAGAAAGTTAGAGATCTGAGAAACCAATGATGGGATCAGGATCTGGGTCCCAGAAAGGAAAAACCCTCGACTTTCCCACATGGCCAAATCTGGCATTCCCTGAGGCTGTAATCCCATCAACCTGTGTTTCATTGTGGCCCTCCCCCTGGCCCCATGCCACTTCTCCACTCTCCCTTGGCCATGCGGTCCATGTCCCTGGAATTCTATTACCTCATAGACTATTTGGCCACTCTTAGATCCCTCCCATAGTCTTTCTGTATATAAGGTCCATCTTGTCTCCATTAAGAGGCTTAGATTCTTATAATCTAGCCACTGCTTAGATTCTTATAATCTAGCCAATAGTTTACTAATGTTCAGACTCCTTAAGAGTCTGCCCAATATGATGGATGTTCTAATAAATCTTGTCTTTGGCTGGGAAAAGGCTTGGGTCGAATTCTTTTGGGCAGAACCCGTGTGTTGTTATTTTGGGGTCCCAGCACCCCTGAACCCCTAAACCACATCACCATCATTAACCCAATGAGGATTATCATTCCCATTTTTTAGATGAGGTGTGTCAAATGAAAACCTTGAGTGATTAGGTAATTAATAGGCAATTTATTAATTAGGCTAGCTGGCAATCAATAAATCGATGGCCAGTGGTTTCTTTCAGTAACCAAAGACACCAAGAGAGACCTTGAATTGCCTTAAACTCTTTCTGAAAGGACATCCCCTGACAAGTGAAAATCAACCCTGATTTGTGGACATTTAATGAGGAAGTGGGCCAAAAGTCTTCAACTCCTTCTCCTGAGAGAGTGGCTTTATCGCGAGACTCAGCATCTGGGCAGGAGAAGCCATTTCCATTGGGACTTCTGTGGTTAGTTTTCTCCTTCATGAACTGTTGCCCTAAACTCTACTGGAGGGGATCAACAACTGGGGGTTGTCCCACTAGGTAAAGGCTCACTCAAACTAGATTCTATTTATACTTTAAACAGACATTAGGTCTCGAAGTTGGGTGGAGTCCCTGTTTGCCTTAGTTTGTTCATCTATAAAATGAACCGGAGAAGGAAATGGTGAACCACCCCAGCATCTTTGCCAAAACCCCAAATGAGGTCACAAAGAGTCTGAAAACTACTGAACAGCAATGGGGACAGACTGTGGGTTGCAGGAGGGCAGGGATCCATGTCTTTCTTTATATCCCTATTGCTTAGGACAGTGTGTGGCACTTAATAGGAGCTTCATAAATGTCTATTGACTGTGTGATTCTACCTCACAAGGTTGTTGTGAAGAAAGCTTAAAGCACAATTACACACACACATGATCTATCATCATTGTCTCCTATCACTTGCTGTTTTCACAGACCTTTACCCTCCAATGATCAGACACCCTTTTACTGATTTTCTCTGTCCTGCTGCCTTTTGCACTGTCTGCCGGATCCCCCGATATAAGTGCCGTACTCTGTATTCTCTACTTTTTTTTAACTCATAAACTGAAAATGAGAATATACTATGAGTTTCAAAGATAGGCAGTATGATTTGGTGGAAAGATGTGTTTCAAGGTCTGGAGTTAGAGGACCCTGTCTCAGATTACAGCTCTATTTCTTACTCAGTACTTATGTTGATGAGGTTTAGGGGTATAGGGGCCCCAAAATACCGAGGGACAGGGTGGCATTGTCAGGAAAGAATTCACGGACTCAAATAGTCTTCCAGTCAGGTGGCAAAAAGTTTATTATAGCATTAATATGGCAGGCTGAGCTCCTTAAGGTATTCTGCAACCTAACTGGAATGATGCTAAAGCTTATGTAGAAAAAGTAGTGGATTATGTGCCAAATATGCTGATTAGGTAATTATATGCAACCTTAGTCACAGGCCTTATTTACTACAGGAAACTGGGGAGGAGTTTCTAAGGCGTGAATTTTTAGTCTGTTATGTCTATGACAAGATGGCTTTGGGAGTTGATGTCTATAACTTGACCTCTGAATCATACACGATAACTGTGGGAACCAGTACATGATAATTTTTGGTTGATACAAGATCGTCTCCTTCATACAAGGGCAATTCTACAGAGGTCATCTTGTTCTTGTAACAGGGAGAGATAGTGAGATAGTTTACCTCACTGGGCCCACTCCTGAGTTATTGCCAGAGATAGGGTCTTTAGGCTGGGAAGAAAACTGTCAGGGATAGTGTTTTGAGGCTAGGGAGAAATATGATCTTGGAATTGGGGTCTGAGTACAGGCACCCAAACACCCCATTCATGTGACCCTGGGCTAATTACTTCTTCGCCTTTCTAGGCTTCAGTCTCATCTGGAAGATTAGAGGGTTGGATTAGTTCATCTTTACAATCCCCTCCACCTATAAATCTATGATTCTATGATCCCTAATGGAAGGAAGGGAGAGTGACAAAAATACCAAGGACAGAATCTTGGAGATGATGTTTTTTATTTAGGTCAGGAATTCTTAATCTGGGATTCCTGAATGTTTGTTTGAAAATATTTTTATTCATGTCTTTTTTTTTTTTTTTTGCTGTCACCAAGGATTTTTTTTTTACTTCTCTCCCCCTCCCCCTCCCAGAGAGTTATCCCCATGTAACAGATATTTTTTAAAGAAAAAAAAAGGAAAAGTGGGGAAAAAAATCAGCATTTCTGATCAAGTCTGAAAATATATGCAATGTACAATACTTGTGGGCCTTCCATCTCTGCAAAGGATTGGGATGGGAGTGTCTTCTCATATCTCTTCTTTCAAGCCATGATTGTTCTTTATAATTTTATAATATTTACTTTTGATTTTTGGCGTAGTCCTGATGGGGTATGAGCCCAAGGTGAGACCTTTGCCCCTTACCCCAAAAAGAATTTGAGTCCCATCTGTCTAAGAGATTCTTCTTGAATTCTCCCACTTGATCAAAGAGGTCTCTGGCATTCCCCTGAGGCCATAATTCTATCAATTGGCCTTTCATTGTGGCTATGCCTAACGTTACCCTGGACCTAGCCTAGCCCTCCATTGTCTTACCTCCCTATGGCCCCAGGCCACTTCCCACTCTTAATCTTATCTAGGCTCCATTTTCCCCTGGCCACTTGGTCAGGGTCCCAGGAGTGCTATTACCTTGTAGACTACTTGGCCACTCCTAGATCCCTCCCACAATCTTTCTGTATATAAGGTCCATCTTGTCTCCATTAAGATGCTCAGATTTTTACAATCTAGCCAGTAGCTCACAGGTGCTCAGATTCCTTAAGTCTGGCCAATATGGTGTATCTTTAATAAAACTTGTCTTTGGCTGAAAGAAGGCTTGGGTTGAATTCTTTTGGGCAGGCCTCATGTGTCGTGATTTTGGGGTTCCAGCACTCCTAAACTTCTAGACCTCATCAGTCCTTTCTGTTTACATTATTGTAGTTTTTGTGTATATTGTTTTCATGGCTCTGCATACTTTACTCTGCATCGCTTCATGTAGATCTTTCCATGATTCTCTGTACACATTTATGCTTTCTTACAGCATTGTAACCTTCCATCACATTCATGTGCCACAATGTTTGCTTTTAAATGTTTTGATAAATGTATTTCAACATAATTTATTTCCTTTGTAATCTTATGTTTTATTTTATGCTTTTAAAAAACAGTATTTTAAGAAACAGTGAAAAGGTTTCAAAGGACTATCCTTCAGAGGGGTCCATGATACACATAAGAACCCCTGTTTTATAGGATGGGGAGAGGAAGAGGAGCCAGTGAGGTTGATATAGTCAGAGAAGTATGCTTCGCAAGTCAAGTCAACAAACATTTATTAAATACTTTTTATGTGTCAGGAACTCTGCAGTGCTTCTGGGGATGAAAAGAAAGGTACAAATAGTTCCCACCC